CCGTCAACTTATGTACTGTCAAGAAATTTTCAAAAAACTGTCAAGAAATATACGTTACTCTTGACAGTTATGACAAGAAATGTCATAAATATTTCAATTAAAACCATCAATTTTAATTGTTTAAAACCGTCATTAATTGTTTAAAACCGTCATTAATTGTTTAAAACCGTCATAAATTTTTTATAAAACCGTCATGATTAGTTTAAAAACCGTCATAATTAAATTAAAAACCGTCATGTTTTTTTTAAAAAAATCGTCTTAATTGGTATTAAAACCGTCATATTTTATTGTTAAAACTGTCATATTTTAGCTTAACACCGTCATCTAGTTTGTAGCAAAAACCATCAAGAAAAATCATTTTAATTCAATAAAAGACAAAATTGATATTTATTTGGATCGAGATGGATTCGAACCATCAGCCTCTCAAATGAGCGCTCTTTCCATTTTGAGCTTATAGATCCATCTCATTTACTTGAGAAAACTAATACACCCAAGTGAGTCAATATTCACCTCATGCACTCAAAAAAATTAATACACGTATAACGAGGCAAATAAAATGACATGACTATTTGCTTCATAAAATTGGGGAATTCATGATTGTAATGGACCAAATCAAATTCTTATCCTCAATAAATTATGAAGGGCTTCCATTACCTGAACCCATTTTTAGGACAATATATAAAAAGGAATTCTCATCAAGTTTCCAGTCAATGACCACAACAAAATGTTAATTACAGATATTTGCACTGATAGAAATAATAACAGTGTTCAGTGGGGCCATGCCCAAGAAAGCCACTTAGAATAAACAAATTTAGGCAAACACCTAATGGTAGTAGTATAAAGCAAATAATAGCATCAACTTACACTGTTTAGGAACAACTACTGGTGCTAAAGTTGGTGGAGTAGCTGCTGGTATGTACAGTCCGTACAGATGTTGGTGCAGTAGCTGCTGAAACATGGGAAAACTAATGAATCATTTTGGTATATGCTTCCAAATAGTAACATCCATAGTCAATGTTACATACTATGAGTAGATAAAGAGTGAGCATACCTTGATATACCTTCCTTAGCTTACCTTGATATACCTTCCTTAGCTTCAAGAGAATTCGCGATAACACCTTCATAGCTGTATGTAAAATAAGATTTGTTGCTGCAAAAGTATGCATATTCCTGCCAACATGCCCATGCAAAGAATCTGCACCTGCAAAAGCATTTATTAATTATATACTTGTTTCAATGAAGAATATAAGAATAAATGTTACATTAGTACAATACACTGGTTAAACAACAACCTCTGCTTAAGGACTAATTTATTAATTAAAGCATTTTGTATACCTCCATTAGCTAGTCAATGAGAATAGCTCTCATCCGATCCGCTCATTTATATTCAATTGTTGTTCAAATTAATATGGCAAACATCAACCATCAACCTTCGGAATGGACAACAAAATCCTGCAAAATGAAGTTTTATTCAAATAATTAACAAACCCGAAGCCTAAAAGCAAACAACAGAAGTATTAACTTCAAAAATAAGAACTACAACATGAGATGAACAAATAGAAGAGAAAACCAAATATATCTCTAGAAGAAAGTTACATTTTAGTGTATTGGGTTACTTTGGAAAGAACACTGATTCAATAGGAGCGGCTCTTAAGATAGATTGATGGTACCAAAGCTTTGATAGCAGCACCAAAACTCCTTGCAGGGTTAATACTATAATTCCAGATATGGGATCGTTTTCAAGTGAACCATGAACATAGCAAACCTGATAGAGTGATAGACATGGGAGCCAATACCTGAATCAAAACATAGAGAGCAAACTAAAATTAAACTAGTAAGGTAGTAGTAATGACGCAACCCTCAATCGTAATCGAACACCAAAGGGCTTAGCCTAACATTAAGAGAACATCAATGAGCAAAGGATATTCAGACCAATTACCGAAACTAACACATGAGGTAAATCATAATCAAACTTCTTATAAACTAGAATCACAGAGCAATAAATAAAAGAATGACAAACACATAATACATGTATGTACCAAAGTAAATCCCTAACCTCCAAATAAGAAATCACATTACAATTGGGGCACTATGAATTCTTCAATGGTATATCTGAAGCTACAATGTGATGGACTGGTGGTGGTGATAAAAATAAAGCACAAGTCCAAGCAAAAAACAATATTACAATTAATCAGGTTAAAAAAAAACCATAGTGGCTACTACCCATTGTTTAAGAAAAGATGATGGACTGCCATTAAAAAACACAAATCCATTTGGAGCTTTCAAGAACAAATTAAAAATTGAATCAATCTAGCTAACACTTAGCAAAAATAAGAGAGGGAGAAAAAGATAACCTTTGTTGCCCTGAAAGAGAACGACATGGAAGGAATAGAGACAGAGAACGATGGTGCGGAGAGTTGGAGTGGAGAAAGACAAGATTACAACGGAGATAGAGAGAGAGGACGACGGTGTTGCTGTTGGTGTAATTGCATTTTGGTGATGCTTCGTTGAAAGAAAAGAAGAACCTAAGGTGGAGAGAGTTAGTGGTTGTAAGTTGTAACTATCAAGAGTCCACCATTTCTTTATCTAAATTTTACCCAATGACGTATTTGGCCAGAACCATCAAGAACAATATAAAAAACCGTCATACTTTTATATTAGTAGACTGACGAATTTTATATAAACGTCATGGGCGTTTCTTAAAACTCACCCGTTGAGTGTTTTTGAAAAACCGTCAAGATAGTATCATAAAACCGTCATCTTCTTTTTAAAAATCCACCCTATGACACTTTCTATTAAAACCGTCAAGAATAAAATATAGAAACCGTCAAGATATGACTGTTTTGTAGTAGTGTTTACTTGCTTAATTAATTTGCAGATGTCTCAGTCCCTGGTTTCATATAGCGGAGAACTTGACTATAGAAAATACAGCCGGCCCAAAATATGGGACAAGCAGTAGCCCTTCGATCAGACTCGGATAATTCTGCCTTCAACCGATGTAGATT